AGATTCCCCACGACCTCCCGCACGCAATGGGGTAGCAGGTTGGGCCAATTACAGAAGCCAAGGGCGACGGTGCCACTAATAGTGGCAAGATGGACTAGGGACGACGGTGCATCACCAAAGTTGGCCGGGATGGCAAAAATTAGGGTTCTGTCGAGCTTCTACACCCTACTGTGAACCTAGTGCACATGTAAGAATGGTGAATGGTGGTCGGGGGCGGCCCGGCCACGTGTGGTGTGGCATGGCGGCGACAACATAAGGGCCTTACCGTGCGCTGCTAGCTACACGAAGGGGGGTTCGGCGAGGTGGTGGGAGCACGGTGGAGCTATGGCTGCGGTGAGAGAGCGGCGAGAGCGATTCTACGGGCGGGTGCGATCGCGAGTGAAGGAGGAGGAACTGAGTGAGAGCGAGCAGATGGGCGCATTGCTGCGGTATTGAAGCTCGCCCCGGCCTGACTGGAGGGACCTGCGTCGGCGTACGGCCGCCAGATGGTGGTCGGCCAGCACCGGCCGGCCCTGAAACGCCCGACTGAACCCGTCATCTTCCTCACACAACATCTCTCAAACCAACGTGATTCAGCAAAAATTGTAAGAATCAAAGTGGTAGAGCTATGCAAGGGCTACAAGATTGCTTTAGAAACCATCTTCTAATTCGCAACAGTTAGGGAGTTAAATCATCTCAAAGTCAGGCACATTGGAACGGTGAAACTAATTTGACTTAGACAAATTTCAAAGTTCCAAAAACAGTATAATGTTGATACTTGTGAGCCCTATTTGACCATGTTAGGCATAGAATTAGACCTTGACCCAAAAATAAAAGTTGTTGCTCTAAACAAGTACTACAACTTTGCTTAAGGGTGCATTACCATGTAAACACTCTAGGCTATAATTCAACTTAGGTCAAACATATAACTTGAAAATGATGATTTACACTATAACCATGACTTAGAGGCCAAACTAACCTTAGTCATGAATACCAAAGTTGCTCCATGTGATATTCTAAACATGTTTAAGGTACTCCTAGGGTTCTACAACCATTTTGTACATTGGTTACATGTAAACCCTAGCATATGCAAAGCATCTTAGTGACAACACATGCAATATAAGCAAACATAGAGATAATATTTGAGATGCTTATGCTCATGAATGCTCAATGATGCTTGTGCTCATGCAATGCCAAGGCTAAATGCATGCTTAACACCTAGGGTGTTACAGGAGCGGGAAGGCTCGTTACGCTCTTGTCGTGGGTTCCGGCTCTTTCCTGACCGACTTATTGGAGACGGGGAAAGGTGGAGGTCTAAGCACCATATTGAGACCGGGTCTCAAGTGTGGGGGCTTGGAGTCCAAGTTTGGACGGGGACCTGGACCCTGTGACAGGAGTGGAATGGGTTGGTCTTGTTTGTGCCTAGGGTACAAACGGGGCGTGTGTTTCGGGGTACCCAGCTGGGATACATTGGTTCGCGAATAACCGTTTCCATGAGATGGTACGACTTAGCTACGGTCTAGCACCATAGTAAGAACTGGAATATGAAAGATGATAAATTGGTTCTGATTACTCAACCCTTGCTTGAAAATAGAACAGGTGCTGACCTAGAATGGTTAGCTAATGAAGTAATCATGACTGTTAATTAAACTTGATCTTAAGGACGTACTTCTAGCAATGCTTTTCGTAAACCAAAAGAAAACAACAAACCCATATTGCTTATCATATCCTTGAGAGTTGGGAAACTATTTCTACTAGTCTGGTAAGTCTTGCGAGTACATTGTGTATTCAGGGTTTATTTTACCCTGTTGCAGGTGCAGCTTGAGGAGTAGCTCTTGTGTGGAGGATTCTTCTGGTGGGCACAGACGGATCCTTGTATCGTTTTCGCTAGATGTTTATTTTCATTCCGCTATTTAATTATCGCACTTTGAACCCTAGTATTGTAATAAATATTTTTCAAAAACTCTTGTTGTATGAAATGGACTAAGTATTGTAAGCCGTACTCATTATTGGATTCTGAGGTAAAACTTGGATTGATTCAAGTTCTCCCTTGTGGTGTACTCGACGGAACTGTCCGATGTAGCTAACTTTTGATGTGCTTAGTGTCTAGTGAAAGACGAGCATCTTCGAAAATATGTTATTTTAGATGGTTCTGTCACTAACTAATAGGCTCAGACTCCACCATGGACATATGTTGGTAACCGTAGAGGTTGTTAGGGAGATAGGAGAGAGTGGAATGAGGGAGAGGGATGAAAGCTGGGGTAAAGTACCTCGACAGAGTGGCTAGAGAAAAAGAAGACGTTCGTTAGCAATGCATTGGATAACGTAGAATCGTTCTTCTGTGAAACCTCCATTTCCTGACACATGCGTTGTACGTGCTCTCATCGCCGCTATTTGTATATTGTAAAAGATAAGAAGCAATGTTCGAGCAAAAACCAAATCAAATATGCTATGCTAGAATTCCAGTCGGCTGAAAAGGGTATCTCAGGTTTTTTTTTTCCAGCCAACTCTTGCCAGTTGCCTCGTGCTAACCGTCCAGTCCAGTTTCAGAAAAAAAACTAACCGTGGATGTAGGCCGCGTGGTCCAGCATTTTGACCGAAATCCGAGCTGGCGCTTCGCTGGGCCCCGCAATCATTGGAACAAAAATCGTGGCTCTCCGCGCGCTTGGAGCAAAAATCCCTGCGTCATCACTCAGCCGGAACGCACCCGCCTCGACCTCGACCCTTTGCGTGACGCCTCCCCATTGGCCGGGGCCCTGACAGGACGGAGCGCCCGGTGGGCCTGCCAGCCTGGCCACGCGCGCCTGTGGCTGCAGCCTGCTGCAGGAGTACGAGGGCACCGGATTACGGGTGTTGCACCGGACCCCGTCACGGCCGAGGGGACGGGACGGTTCTTTGACCGCGCCGCGCCCACAGGCTGGACCTCTGACTGGCGGGTCCGAGGGCTGTGCAGGACGAGTTCATGGACCTGCCGTACCGGCGTACAGCGTACTGCTGCTCCGGGTCGTATGGGAACGGTACGCCTTCTTTCCCGGTAATAACGTATTGTACGTTTCTTGTCTGTAGATGTAGACAGAACAACAAGGGCAGTGACGTAGGAGTAGTATTCTGCTGCTAAAATGCAAGTATGCAAGTACTGGAGTGCATTAAAGCTGTACATTAAATACTGCCGAAAACGATAAGCTGGTGGCAATGGCAAGAGAAATCGCGTGAATCGTAGGCAGTGCTGGACGGTAGGAGTAGAACGGAAACTGCTATGCTTGCGCGTACTGTACATGTTAGGCTAGTGTGCCTTTTATGTTTTTGACCCGGAGTAAACCTCATTTTGCATAAGAGTCCCCAGAAATGTAAGTACATGATTTGTGAAAAACAAGGATAAAACATGGATATACAAGGGCCATAAAGGAAAAGAAAGTACTTCGAATACATTTATGAGAATTAGCGAGAGGATCCCATTTATCAAAACCAAAAACAATCGGTGATGTCTTGGAAGTCCAAATTTAGTAGGCCTCTAGCTCTAGCTAGTGTCTTTTTAAGGATGGAAGGAATTAGACATAGCTAATTGGCTTGTAACGGTGCAATATGGCAAAGTTTGTGGCGTCTGCACCGAAGTTCAAATCAAAATTTTTAATTTTTATCATATATTGTTGTTGGTAACTATATAATCATATAGTGTCGAATCTTCCATTTTGCTGTAACTCTGCCCCTAAGCAAAGTCCAACATATACATTCACAAAAGTGTCCCCGAAAGGCTCGAGATAATATGTTTGCAATTGGTAACCGTGGTTCTGTATGAATGCATTGCTACGTGATATGCGATAACTGAAGTTTTCTGAGAACCTCATTCACGCGGTGCTAAATCTGCACGGTGATACAACCTGTACCCACTTGTGTATGAATGTGTTGAGATGTGATATGTTCTCGATCCATAACCGAAGTTTTGTAAGAACCTCATTCACACGGTGCCAAATCTGCACGACGATACCATTTTGTATCCACGTGCGGATGAATGCGTCTAAAAACATGGTTTATTTTGTTTTTTCCAATTATGTTCACATTTGGTAACCCGTGGTTCTCATTGAATGCGATGCTACATAATATGTTCTCAACCAATAACCGAAGTTCCGTGAGAACCTCATCCACGTGGTGCTAAATCCACAAGAGATTGTACACGTGCGTGGATCATTGTGTGTTAAAACATGCTTTGTTTCAGCCCTTCCAAATTAGATACCGACCAGAAGCCAGGTGTTTGAGGCAAAATTGATTCAAGCTTCATGGACAGGAAATCATACCCAAAGATACATAAAAACCATACAACTCATTGTTCATCGTTGAGTAGTAGATTGTAGAGAAAAGAAAATGGAATATGTGATGATCGCACCTTTGTCACTTTTCCCCTTAGAAACGGGGAAATGATAGAAAAAAGAGAAACGGATTTTCTGGATAAGCCCTTCATGAAAAGAGACAAGCTTTCTCGATTAATGCAAGTGATGAATGAGTGATATGGGGACGAGTGTACGAGGACCGCGTCCACGAAATCCCCAACACGGCATCGCGCCCACGTCAGCGCCTGTGCCTTGCCGCAATCCTCATCGCACTCGCCCAAACGAAACCCCTGCACCGGACGAACAAGTTTCTCCGGCCGACATGTGGGACCTACCTCGTTGAACCCACCTGTCAGTAAAGTTACCCGGATAACGCGGCGTAACTTTGATCTCCCCCTCGCGTGTCCCTCGTTTACCAGTGGAACATTTTTTGGGTCGGACTCCACACGCAAGCCTCGCCAAAGTTTTTAAAACCCCCCGAGCTTGAAAAAACACAGGTAAAAAAAATATACAAGAGAGACAAATCTCTCTCTCGCTTCGCGTCGGAGAGGAGCGGTGGCCGAGCTGTCCCGGCGGCGTCGGCGGCGCACGCTGAGCGAGGTCCTGGCGGCGTTGTCAGCTCAGGGGGTGGCGCAGTGGTAACCTGCGTGCCCGCGGTTTCGGCTCCCGAGAGGCGGGTCGGGGAGCGTCGGCGGGATGGCGGCGTCGCTGAGGTGGTGGTGGTGGTCGGCGGTGGTATTGTCGGTGGTGGTGGTCGGCGTGAGCCCGGTTGTCGCCAACACGGAGGGTATGCGTATGCCACTGCTTCATGTAATTTTGTGGTTTGTTTTCTTCAAGGTTTGATGAGTAGCCCGCAGCGGAGCGAATTTCCTTCTAGGGGGAATAATGCCTGAAAAATCTGGGGATGGTGTCCAGAAATCTAGTGTTTGTTAGCGTTCTACAGGCCTCTGTTGATGGGCGGCGACTGAACAGGGGATGAAACGATAGCCTGTAGTTCCCATTTCCAGCGCTTTGACTGATTGCTTTGGCCGGGCGGGGTGTTTGTCTCTCCTAGTGTTTTGTCATTTTGTACTATACGGCAATGTTTGTATGACAGGCGTTGTTTTCTAACATCTGGAAAGGTTGGTTGCACAAACCTGGAAGGCAATTCGTTCTGGAACAAATGCAGTCTATGCACAGAAGTGTAGATTCTGTTTTCTACTCATGTCAGCGTCTAGAACTATTTTGGGCCTCAAGGTTCCAAAGGAACTATTTTAGGCTCTGTCGAAATTGGTGCCTTTAAGTTTTTTTCTATGAAGGTGCATATGCAGGGCTTATTTTTTCTGATGCAAAACTTTGGTCTTTGATTCACTACTACACAGTAAATTTTCATTCCATTTCTCCATTGAATCTGAACTGAGATGATCGTTTTTGTTTATTTGGCTAAAGATAGCACATTAGTACTCATGGAAGCTGGAGGAAAGAAATTCTGATTACTGAACCTTTTCTGTTTGGGTTGGGAGGTGGGGAGATCACTATACTTAGTTATAATTGTCTCATTAATTTGTTCAGGCATCGTAGATATGGACTGATATATTAACGGTACGTTGTTAACGAACAACCTGTACTTGCTATCTAAATAAGGCGGTGCCATTTAAAATGAACTGAACCTACATAACGGGGGAAAAAAAAAGAATGTGTACGTTACTTTCTTAAAACTGAGCGTCCTTCGGACGTGCGAACTAATTGCGAAGAATCGGAAAGCATGGCCTAATCATTAAGAGTGCATTGTTCAGTGTTTTTTTTTTTATCATCTTCCTAGTACACGTGTGGAAAGAAACCACATTGTCTTAAATGCTAGTGATTTTTACATGTTGGCTGTATCCTTGAAATGGATAGTAACGTTTGGGTATGTACTCATGATTAAAAGATGATACTACCAAGGTAACTGAACCCGTATAAGAGTAATTACTACTCTAGATGCTAGTCATATTGCGTTGAATCCATGATGCGTTACATTTGATACGTTTTTTTTACCTATTGAAAAAGGTATTGTCTGCTGAAATAAAAGATGTGCATAAGTCAAAATAAAGACAAGCGTTTAACCACATATAAGAACATTACTATATTAACGGCATATTAATGAAGGGCAAAGCTTATGCATCCTCTTAAATTTCTAATGGGTAGATTATTGCTTATTGTGATGATACCTCAATGGCAGGTGATGCTCTATACAGCCTACGACAAAGCCTGAAAGATAACAACAATGTGCTGCAGAGTTGGGATCCAACTCTGGTTAATCCATGTACATGGTTCCATGTTACTTGTAACCCTGATAACAGTGTCATCAGACTGTAAGTTGATCAAAGATCTTTTTGTTTATTCTCCCTTTGAGGTGAAAGACTGACCATTTGAATATCTACTGTCTCCCTTTTGCTAGTGATCTTGGAAATGCACAACTATCAGGTCCGTTGGTGCCACAGCTTGGGCAATTGAAAAATATGCAATATCTGTAAGTTTCCACATCCATGATTTTGATAATTGAGGTAATAGTTTCATGATGCCATATAGGTGCATCTTTCAATCCCAATATTGGTTTAGCATAATTGCTTAGTTTTTGTGGAGCTTCTGAAACATGTGTGCATGCTTTTGGGTGTATTATGTCTCCTTTTGCCCTGACGCCCAACAGTTCTCACTTCTCTTACTATTTCTTACCGTATATATTTTCCAATAAATATTGTACCCTCCAGTACCCTACAATATATAGGTCGCCTTTGTGTTGAATTTATGTTTCATCATTTTGCAACAGAGAACTTTACAGTAACAACATAAGTGGGCCAATACCACCTGAACTGGGGAACTTAACTAACCTGGTCAGTTTGGATCTGTACCTCAACAACTTCACTGGAGGCATTCCTGACACCTTGGGCCAACTATCAAAGTTGCGGTTTCTGTAAGTTAATTCAATTGCCCTGGTTACAGAAGTGATATGTTCATGTGGCATTGTCTATCAATATATGTTGATCCTGTTAGTATAAATTATCTTATTGTTATTCGGTCATGATTTATCTGACAATGATGTGGAGAAATAGAAAGTTCTTACAGAACAGTAATATATGCATGATGTGCCCAACAATAGGTTTGCACAAAGTTATCCTCCAAATGCACTCTTCACTTTGTGTTAGTAGATACTAAGGTTTTCATAACATCAATCATTCACTTGTCCATTTGTGTCTTTTTCTTTTGATTTTTAAAATGAAAGGCAAAATCCATTGTCTAGTTCTTGCCTTGTTACTTATTACATTATCTCTAAACTTATCTATTGACTATTGGAAAGATTGTAACGTTTTTATTTCTTTGGATATCTACTTGCAAGGACAGCCGTCTTAATAACAACAGTCTTTCTGGCCAAATTCCGAAAACGTTAACCAATATCAACACTCTCCAAGTTCTGTAAGTTACCTGTTTCTCTTTTATACATCATTACAGCTGTTCAGGATGTTAGATAACAGCAAAAAGTGTTTTGACAATCTTGCAGGGATCTCTCAAACAACAATCTCTCAGGAGGGGTGCCATCAAGTGGTTCATTTTCTCTGTTTACACCTATAAGGTAATTTCTGGATGAATTTGGATGCTTAATTGCATCTGCTGATGCAGTTCTCCTGCCAGTTGAAAACAAAAACCTGTGTCTTCTGATGTTGACAATTCTAACCTTTTTGTGATTTTGTCACAGTTTTGCTAACAACCCAAATCTTTGTGGCCCTGGTACTACAAAGCCTTGTCCTGGGGCTCCTCCATTTTCTCCACCCCCTCCATACAATCCCCCATCACCAGCTTCATCAAAAGGTACGGTGATTGGCTGTATATTCTGTCATATCATGGTACTGTTTGAGATATGCATAAGAGCGAAGCACTGACATGATCAAACTATGGTACATGACATGTCCTAACTGTGTTAATTCTGTTCCTCAGGCGTGTCCAGCACTGGAGCAATTGCTGGAGGCGCTGCGGCTGGCACTGCATTTCTGATTGCTGTGCCTGCTATTGGATACGCATTGTGGCGGAGGCGAAAAACCTGAAGAGCAATTCTTTGATGTCCCTGGTCGGTATTATATACCACTGTGCGGTTGTTGTCATCTGTGCTATTCATTTAATTTATATGCTCTCCTTTCGATTCAGCTGAGGAGGATCCTGAAGTTCACCTTGGACAACTCAAGAGGTTCTCACTGAGAGAGCTTCAAGTCGCCACAGATAATTTTAACAATAGGAATGTCCTAGGAAGAGGTGGTTTTGGAAAGGTGTACAAAGGGAGACTGTCGGATGGTTCACTGGTAGCGGTGAAGAGATTAAAGGAGGAGCGCACCCCTGGCGGAGAGCTCCAGTTCCAAACAGAAGTTGAATTGATTAGCATGGCAGTGCACAGGAATCTGCTTCGGCTCCGTGGATTCTGCATGACTCCTACAGAGCGGTTGCTAGTATATCCATACATGGCTAATGGGAGTGTCGCGCGTCGCGCCTTGAGGTAAGGTACCTTATTCTTTCTCACCGCTCAAATCTGTTCTTCTGCATTTATTTGAAAACAAAGTGCTAGAAATTTGTGTCAAAAGCATGTAACCATTTTTACTTTTGTTTGTCTGTTTTCTGTAGTCCAACTTTAGTTTGCATATTTCTGATTTCATTCTTGATGCTTTGATTTTGTATAGAACGCACGCCAAATGAGCCCCCTCTCGAATGGGAAACAAGGGCCAGGATCGCGCTGGGATCAGCCAGAGGTCTCTCTTACTTGCACGACCACTGTGATCCCAAAATCATTCACCGCGACGTGAAAGCCGCCAACATCCTGTTGGACGAAGACTTTGAAGCTGTGGTGGGTGACTTTGGCCTCGCCAAGCTCATGGACTACAAGGACACCCACGTGACGACTGCTGTACGTGGGACGATCGGCCACATCGCCCCCGAGTATCTGTCCACCGGAAAGTCCTCTGAGAAGACGGACGTCTTCGGCTACGGGATCATGCTCCTGGAACTCATCACTGGGCAGAGGGCGTTCGACCTCGCCCGTCTCGCGAACGATGACGATGTCATGCTCCTTGACTGGGTAAGTACTGTACTGTACTGTACTGCGCGTCTATCTTTCGGTACACCATGAGAGCTGGCTTCGTTAAATGCTTGAAACCTGTGAAAGGAATGTAAAGAAATGAAGAAGCTGCTGGTGGTGCTGTGGTTTTGCAGGTGAAGGCGCTGCTGAAGGAGAAGAAGCTGGAGCAGCTGGTGGACCCGGACCTGCAGGGCCGGTACGCGGACCAGGAGGTGGAGTCGCTGATCCAGGTGGCGCTGCTGTGCACGCAGGGGTCCCCAATGGAGCGGCCCAAGATGTCGGAGGTGGTGCGGATGCTGGAGGGCGACGGGCTGGCTGAGCGGTGGGAGCAGTGGCAGAAGGTGGAGGTGATGCGGCAGGAGGCGGAGCTCGCCCCGCGCCACAACGACTGGATCGTCGACTCCACCTACAACATCAGGGCCGTCGAACTGTCCGGCCCGAGGTAGGCGATGACTGGTGCGGAGGTACATGATCGTCGTGAGAATCCTTGTCTGTGAATATGACAGCAGGTAGTTTGTTGGTTGGTCCTGAATGGTAGCTGCGAAATTGTAGCTGGAATTGTGCACTCGTGTTCTCACCTGACTTCTGTAAGTTTTGTTTTTTCTGATATTAGAGAGCAGTAAGTATGACACCAGCCTCTGTTGAGCTCAGTAGTTTAATAGTAGTAGCTGCTTTTCGTTTTTGCGATGGCGTCCATAGCAGCCAGCACGTCGTTGTGGTGGCTGCGCTTGGTGACGCTCCGAACAGCGGGGTGACGAGCGTACGAGTCAGAGAGCAGTGGCCTGCCGACTGGTATCGTGCTGGGCGGCAGGCATAGCGCAGCACTGCTGCGGTGGGCGCGCGCGCTCAGGCTGTCAGGCACGCATCGGTGGTAGACCCCCGCTCAGCCGCTCACCGATAAACAAGTCCACTGCTTCTGCTACTGCACATTCATGCTGTGCGCTGGTGAGGCTACACCTGAACGTGCTCGATTTAACTGTCATTTTTTTCCCATAATGTACGGCGGGGCAGGACCCAGGAGGAATAGTGCAGCTTCGTTTCCCCAGAAATGGACCATGCTACAGGCTACAGATAAGGTCCTCTCCTGTTTGCGGCGTGAGAATTCTTGTGTTTCCAACGGGCCTTGAGCAAGAGCAAAGATAGAACGTAGAAGTACGCCCAAACAAGAGAAGAGCAGCATCACAATCACTACTTATTTAACCACTAGCAGTCTAGCACTAGTATCACACTGACAGAGAACAACGGTTAGTCATATACAGCACAACACCGACAAGCGTCCCTGACATCGCATAGGTAGGTTTACACGCCAAGCAAAGAGAGAGTGAGATCGAAAGGTTGGCGCCAAGCCGCCAAATGCCTGGCTAACTGGTAACCAAAGGGGGGCAAAAAGAGCTGGGGATATGATCCATCCATCCATGTCCATGCATGAGCATGAGCAGCCGTGAGTCGTGTAGGCTAGAGGGAGGGCACCCGAAAGAACCTGCCGCGGCACATGCAGCGGTAGGCGATGGGGCAGGACTCGGACGCCAGCGCGCACCTGAAGCTCACGATGACGCGCCGGCACGGGGAGCACGGCCCGCACGCGTGCGCGCAGTCCGGCAGCCGCGACCCCGTCGCCGCGCGCTCCTTCAGCCACCACTGCTCATCTTCCTCCTCCAGCACCACCAGCGAGCCTTCTTCGTCCTCGGTCCGGTCTGCTGGTTTGTAGGTTGCCCTGCTGCTTGCGTGATGAGCACCAGCGGCAGGCGGTGCCTCCGCGTCGTCGAGCACGCCGGCGTCACCTGGACCGGACGCACCTGCGGCACACGGAGAAGATGAACCATTGTCAGATCCCTGTTTATTTGTTGTTTCAGTTACACAGGGAGTAAACAGGTTGCATTGTAGGAGTATGAACAAGAAAAGAACGTCAGCGCGTGTTCAGATGCCACATGTGCTGTCATGTCATCTGATGGTAACGGAGGCCACGTCGGCCTGACACGTCAGTACGTGTGCCTACTACGATGCACGTACTCTACTACGTCGCCGGACCGGCAGTGCTCGTGCTCGGCATCAATCAATATGGCTGCAAGTTAGTTGTGCAAGCGTGTCCAAGTTCTGAAACATGAAAGCTGACCGCGTTGAACTGAAAGAGGAGAAAATAAATAGTTACTGCAGCTCAGATCATCAACTTACGTGGTGTCGTTCTGACGCCGTCGGCAACGTGCGACGACGACGAACTGATGACCAGCAGGAGCACCAACACGACCGCTGCTGGGGTTGGTGTTGGAGCCCACCATCTCCGGCAACTGCCACAGGACTCCCGCGTTCTCATTTCTCGCTTCCTAGTAGGAGCTGTGCTGGTTCGACGAGCTAGCAGAAAGGCAAGAACACACACACTATGCCAAAGGAGAAACAGAGCAAACACAGCAAAGCTACCGATCGAGTTCGGAGGGGACGCTTGTGCTTGCATGCGGATATATAGGAATAGGACACAGCAGGTGCATCAGAGCTTGGTGGAAGTGGCCATAAATAACGGGATGCATGCGCATGCGCCGGCCGGGCGCTCGATCACAGGATCCCCGGTTGGATTCACATGGAAACCCTTGCGTGCGCCGGCCCAGCCAGCCCGGAAATCGACTGAGCACACGAAGACGATGCCGACACAGGCGACAGCAACGAGGGCGACCAGGAGTTGTATTAGATGTGGCCGTATGAAGGTCGTGCGTGCTCGCACGCCTGTGCGCGAGGGGAAGCAATGGCGCGGCGGGGCATGGCTCGCCGCATATTTATGGCTACCTAGCTTGGCTCAGCTCAGAATCGCCGGGCGCGCCTCGCAGCGCGACGCAGTTATTATGGCTGGCGCGCGTCCTCGTCATCTCGGAGCGTTCTCTAGCATGCATTTCGATGGCGCTTCCTCCCTCCCCGTGGCCGCAGCGCAGTATAATACTACAGCAGTGCTGCCGTTCTGCTCTGCTCCTGCTCTCAAGAAGTTATGGACTCGCGTAGTACAAAAATTATTCTTCTGCCACTGCCAGCACGGTTTGGTTTGGTTTGGTTAATGAACAGATCCAGTCAAGCTGAATCACTCGGCATCAATGCATCTGTGAGCAGCACGCATGCAAGCTGCATATATAAATGTATATAAATAAATAAATACTACAATGTACCACCGGCTAGTACTAGCATGCAGACGTGTCTGATTCGGGTGGCATGGATGTCATTTTGCGCATAAGGGCCGATCGATCCAACTGGACCTGGACGTGGACATAACATTAAAACATGATTATCCGGCACGATCTATCTAGCCTAAACACACGAAGAGAACGGGGTAAAATCTTAGGATAGATGAGTATTGGACGTTCGATGGGAAATTTAAAACCTATAATAACTAAAAATTGCTTTGTCTTTGCACATAAGCTCTCTCACTACCCATCTGGTAACAAGATACATGTTAGATGCTCTGTAATCTATGTTTAGTTAGTTGTGTGTCTTCAACACCCACATTTATAGTTTCCCTCTTTGTCAATTCTTCTTGTGTCTTCAATATGTGCGTCTAATTGAAACCTTATTAGCTCATGTCAGCTTTTCTTGTAACCTCAGTCTAGATATATTGACTTTCAAATATTCATCTTTTAGTTTATTTTATTTTCTATCCACATGTAAAGTTAAAAACCTGAAACCCTAACAATTATTATATCTTTTGTTAACCGTCCTTTTGTATATTGTTAAAGAATAATCCTAAGTCCTAGACTATACTCTTTTGGCAAGGCAGTGAGAAGTGTGCTTTTGTCACAACGAGACAATTAAGCATATTTTCTTTGAATGTTGTTTTGCATAGGTAATTTGGGGTTGCATACAAGTTGCGTTAAATCTCCCCCAACCCCGTAGTAGTTTCGGGCTGCATACAAGTTGCGTTAAAGACTAGAACAGTCACTAGCTTTGATAGTTCTAGGATTAAACGAAGCCTAAAATAAAAAATGAGGAATGAAATTGTCATTTTGAAAGTGCATGGACTAACTAAACCTTAGACGATAGTTGGGGGACCAAAAATTACTATTCTATCAAATTAAATAGTTGATGTAAATTTTTAGAACTATTGTAATAGCCCAGACACATTAGAGCAACTCGAATAGTTGGCTACCCAAAAATCATAGTTTTGGGGGTTGGAAAAGAGTATCGAGTGGACAAGATTTCATTGTAAGGCTTTGTTCGGAAGCGCAAGGATCAATGTTGAAAGCTCTAGTATGGTTTTGGTTAATTGATGAAACCCATTAGGACTAACCCTATGCTCTAAGTGTGAAATTGAGATAGGTTGGTCCAAGCCAAGTGTTGGAGTAAGATGAAGTCTATGGTGTTGAAGATGGACATGTGATGATGGTGATCAAGCTCTAAACTTGAAAAAGAAGAAAGAGAAAAACAAAATGGCTCAAGGCAAAGGTATATTTGATAGGAGCATTTTATTTTGGTGATCAAGACACTATAGAGAGTGTGATCACATTTAGGATAGATGGTCATACTATTAAGAGGGGAGCTCTTATCGGACAACTCGATCATCTAGTGCTACTAGGTGTTGGAATACTTCCATTGCATTTAGGCCTAGTGTACAATCGGTGAGAAGTGATTAACCTTTGAAAAATGATTGTGGAAATGCTAACACACTTGCACGTGACGGTAAAACACTTGGGAGTGTTAGCACATTGGCAAAGGTGAAGAAAGGAGGCATTGTCAGACTTGGGGTGCTGCCCTGGGGCACCGCCCCTGCCTGTCCGGTGGCACCGCCACCCCTAGGGCGGTGCCCACCTGGCCTAGGTTCTGAGCAGCAGAGAAGGGAGTGGCACTGCCCTGACCAGTGTACACCGCCCTTGGCACGGCGGTGCACCGCCGGGGGCTGTCCGGTGCCACCGCCGCTTTTTTCCAGAGAGTTGGGATTTCGGGGGTTTGGCCTGGGTGGTCGCCGCCCCCTCTAGGGCGATGCCACCGCCACCCCTTGTCTGGTGACCAACGGTTAGTTTTTGAGCCGTTGGAGTTCGACCATTGGGGCACCGCCCCCCATGTCTGGTGCCCTCGCAGAAAACGCTCCAAGGGGTATAACAGCTAGTTTTGAGTGTGGGCTTATAAATAGAGGTGGTGGCCAGCCTTGACCACTCTCTTGGGACTTCCTACACCTGAGAACACCCTTTGGGAGCTGAGCAAACACAATCCACTCACTTTCACACTTGATTTTATCATTTGAGTGAGACTGGAGAGCCTCTAGTGCATTACATAGTGGTCTTGCATCTTGTGGCACTAGTTGGGCGATTTGGGCTGGTGGAGATCTTGTCACTCTTGGTGTTTGCCGACACCTAGACGGCCCGGTGATTGGAGGATCGTTGAGTGGCTATTGGTGATTGTTGCCGGCTCCGATCGAAGTGATTGTGAGGGGTTCTTGTGCCTTCCTCATGGGAGATCACAAAAGGCAACTCTAGTA